CAAGCCTCATAGGGCCCCAAATGACCAAACTGCTATGGGCCCCAAGTGGGTTTTGTGTGGGTTTGCTCTGCCCACACTGTCCCACAGAAAACCCACAGTGGGACCGCGCGGGCATGTTTGCTGGGTGTGGGTTTATGCTGTGGCTACATGGGTACCAAGTGAGCATGGTCCCAAAATGGGCATCTTATCTGGGGCCCACTTGGGTCAGCTAAGTAGGTCCCACATGGGTGAAAACAGGTGGGCTCCCTATGTGGGTCCTAGCTGGGTCACTAATGGGAAATGAGTGCATGGGCTCAAAATGGGCAACACAAATGGGCCCACATGGGTTTAACAAATGGGTTAGACATGGGCAAACACAATCATTCCCATATTGGCTGCCTACATGGGCCCAAAGTAGTACCCACATAGGCAACCTCTTTTTTGGGGTTCAGAATGAGCAAACACATACGGGGCCCTCTTGGTCAAACCATATGTGTAAAACATGGGCAAACACAATCAGTCCCATATAGGCTGCCTACATGGGCCTGAGATATTACCCACATTGGTAATATCTGTATGGGCTGTGAATGGGGAAACACATATGGCACCTCTTGGCCAAACCATATGGGTTATACATGGGCAAACACAATCAGTCCCATATAGGCTGCCTATATGGGCCCAAGGTTGTACCCACATTGGAAATCTCTGTATGGGCTGTGAATGGGGAAATACATATGGGGTAGTGATGGGTCATTCATGACAAATGAATTAAAGACTCTGAAGGTAAAGTAATTATTTATTAGGGCTGCACGATAAATCGCATGCGATATTTAATACGCATCTTGTCAGTAATGCCGGTTCTGTAATCAGCGGTAAATCTTTATCACGTGCGTGCTTTCACATGGAGCAGCATTTACTACACAGAGACGTTGTTCACTGACAAGCTGCGCAAAACCATGTTCATATATGATATATTTTACTGTAATCAGCAAAGGATTATGGGAAAATATACGGACACTACTGTATTTCTAAAGCTATTTACAGTAAACTACTGTAAATTTACAGAACTTGCCCGTGAAAAACTGACCAATGGCAAGGAAGAACCACTGTTTTCTTTTTTCACTGTTTGGTGGAAGTGGCGGTAAAAGGACAAAAGAGAAATGTTGCACCGTTAACTCGACAAAAAGGTTAGTATATTATTTCTGTTTTATGCAAAACTGAGGTATTTTAAGATGTTTTCACTTGTTAACAGTTAACTAACATTATTAATTGTATCGTTTTTCATGTCAGGAGTTGGAGCCTTTTTTTCTGACTGACGGCCGGCATGCTGCCAAAACGCTGATAACATCGACTGGTGAATAAGTTAAGGTCACCTATATTAGTCGAAATAAACCTTAGTTAAACCGAGAAACACGTTTGTACGTTCTGCTGCCCTTTAATGCAAGTTAACTAATCTGGCGAGTCGTTACTTAACCTTAACAGCTAACTAACGTGAAATACTGAGGTAAAGTGCGTCAGGCAACACCACTGTTCCAGTGGAGATTTTAAACAGTATTTTCAAGTACTTCAATTCTTCTCCTCCTCATAACGTCTGCAGCGGTGCACTGCCATTGTGGAGAGAGTATCACGACGCATGCGCTTGCTTCCGCTTGATGTAAACAACGCATATGCGTGGTGCTGCTGCTTACGTTAAACACACATACGTCAGCATGCGCATCCGCTGCAGACAGTACGAGGAGCTGAAGAATTGTTGAATAAAGTTGTTATTTTTGTTTTCTTTGCGCATAAAAAGTATTCTCGTAGCTTCATATCAGTATGGTTGAACCACTGTGTCACATGGACTATTTTACCGAAGTCCTTGCTACGTTTCTGGGAACATTTCAGTTGTGTTGCTGTCTATGCAGGGCCAGAAAATTCTCGGATTTCATCAAAAATATCTTAATTTGTGTTCCAACGATGAACAAAGGTCTTACAGGTTTGGAACAACATGAGGGTGAGTAATTAATGACAGAATTTCATTTTTGGGTGAACTAACCCTTTAAACAGCAAAATGCAGATGCTTCAGTTATCTTTAACTTACTGTAGCCTAAAAATTCATAATACCGATCTCACCATCTGTTGGCAACACAAATGGGCCCACATGGGTTTAACAAATGGGTTAGACATGGGCAAACACAATCATTCCCATATTGGCTGCCTACATGGGCCCAAAGTAGTACCCACATAGGCAACCTCTTTTTTGGGGTTCAGAATGAGCAAACACATACGGGGCCCTCTTGGTCAAACCATATGTGTAAAACATGGGCAAACACAATCAGTCCCATATAGGCTGCCTAC